CTACATGTCATTGGAATTCCAGAACAGGAAGAGAAAAATGAAACCACTGAGAAAATTGTCCAAGATTTGTTGGAGGAGAACTTCCTTGATATGATGAAAGATGAGAATATATCCATTTAGGAAGTCCAATGAACCCCAAACAGGATAGACCCCAAAAGAAAAACACTGAGATATATCATCACCAAACTCACCAAAACCAAAGACAAAGAAAGAGCAGCACAGGAAAAATGAAAAGTTACATACAAGGGGTAACCAACAAGACTAATGTTGGATTTCTTGTCAGAAACCATGTGGGCGAGAAGACAGTGAGATGGTATATATAAAACACTGAAAGAGAAAAATTTCCAACCAAGAATTATGTAACCAGCAAAAATGTCCCTCAAATATGATGGTGAAATTAGGACATTTCTGGATAAGCAGAAATTAAGAGAATTTGTTAAAACAAGACCAACCTTACAAGAGATGCTAAAGGGAGTCCTTTGGACAGAGAAGCAACAACAGCCAACAACAACTGACCATTAATACACATGATGATATAACCCAGAAACCAACCCAGCTATGGAAGTATCCAAAGTAAATAAGCCTACAAGATTGTAAACAGAAAACCAGAGATAACAACCTACAAATGAGGACAACTACAAACCAAAAAGAGAGAAAAAAATCATTGTCATTTCAGAACTTCTAGATGGTAGGGAAGTAAAGACAACTACAAGATAGAATGGACTGTTCTACACTTGGGAAGAAAACTATAAATCACAGAGCAACCTCAAAGAAAGATGATAAATCTTCACATCAAAGTAAAAAGAGGACCAGCATAAATATTCAGCAAATACTAAAATAATAGCAATGAACGAAGTGATAACATGATTCGTAAACAAAACCAGCTCAGCATAGAAAATTATATGGAACAGAGAAATTGACACAATGAAAAAGCACATGCAAAAATGACAGCAACAAATTCATATTTGCTGATAATTACATATCTGGCAAGGGACTTATCTCTAAAACTGATGGAAAATTCCAATGCCTCAACACCAAAGGAATTAACAATCCAATTGAAAAATGGGCAGAAGACATGAATAGACACTTCACCAAAGAGGATATCCAGGTGGTCAGCTAATACATGAAAAGATGCTCACAATCACTGGCCATCAGAGAGATGTAAATCAAAGCAACAATGAGATATACCGTCTCACCCCAGCACTGACAGCAAGGTACAATGAGACAGAAAATAACAAATGCTGGTGGGGATGTGGAAAGATTGGGACTCTCATACACTGCTTGTGTGACTGTGAGGTGACACAACCACTGTGGAAAGCATTATGGCGATTCCTTAGAAAGTTGGAATTGGAGATACCATTTGACCCAGCAATTCCATTACTAGGTATATATCCTAGAGAGGTGAGAGCCAGGATAGGAAAAGATACACGCATGCTCATGTTCATCACAGCACTATTTACAATAGCAAAAAGATGGAAACCACCTATGTGCCCATCAGCGGAAGAGTGGATGACCAAACTATGGTACATACACATACTGGAATGCTATGCAGCACTAAAGAATAATATAAAGTCTGCAAAACACCAATATAGATGAACTTGGAGGACGTTATGCTGAGTGAAATGAGTCAATCACAGAAGGAGAAATATAGTATTAGTTCATTATTGTGGAGGGTCAAGGAAAGGTTTATATATGGAGGGAATTTTTCTTTGTTGGTTGCCAGGGGAGGGAGGGAAGGGAGGGGGGGAACACTGAAAAAAAATGCATTGACCCATGTCACTTTAGTTTTGTGTATTTCACTGTACATAAATTATATTTCAATAAAATGCATTTAAAAAAAGATTCAATTAGGGTATATTTATATCCAATAGTAGCTATTTCAGACTACTTTCATCTTTACACACAGCTTTCAACCATATGCAATAAGTATTAAGAAAAAACTACCTGTAGTACTAATAAACATAAGATGTTTAACCTCATTAATAATTGTTTTTGGGGCGGGGCAAGATGGCGGACTAGGCAGAAGGATTGCACAGACCCTCTTCAACAAAGAAAAGGGAAACCAATTAACACAGACACAGA